CGTTCAGACTGTCATAAAAAAATCGGATATGAGTCAGATGGGTCCAAAAAATCGGATTTGGGTCGGATTTGCCTGCAGTGTGAACGTAGCCTTGGACTCTCATTCCTCTGATGGGCCTTTGAAGGGATAAAAACTCTGTTCCACTTAGAACTGAACTGAGGCCACCTCAGGTCGTCTTAACCTTTCAAAAAGACATTCTCTTCCTTCTAAATCAGATAATAAACAGAAGAATCTTCTATTACGCATTTTGATAATCAGAGAATGTTTATCAAAGTTACAGGAGAAAAGAGGACAGATCTCTTTTCTCCCTCAGTATGATTTCAGCTATGTATGGTTTCTCTGTGGAAAAATTCTTAATTAACTAAAATAATCTTTATGGTTTAAGTTGATGAAATATCAGTGTTTTACTTGTCTGAATCATGTTTGAAAATGTTTTGAACCTGAAACAATTCATTTTTCTTTCAGTTATGTTTTGAAGACTCCTCATCAGATAATAATTAAATGGGTCATGAAATGTTTTGTTCTGAACCACACAGAAGCAATAACCTTGTTTAGTTTCAGGAGGCGACTGCAAATCTCTGAATCTAACCTTTCCTTGATAACACTTTTCTAATCTTACTTTCCAGAGGGCGGAACTTAGATTCTCTAAGCTTTTAGTACTAACAGTTTCCACCCGGATGGTAGTAAGTGACGGACCGCCGTCAGTCACTTTGACAGCTAGACTCTCTGAGAGTCAGAAGCTAAGCTGTGACAGGTTTACCTCTTCATCGCCAACGAGGAAACCTCACAGCCTGGGTCAGACCAACGCCTGGTCGATCCACTTCAGTAAATCTTCTAGACAGAACTTTTTTAGAAGCCTGGGTTCCAGGAGAGGCTTTGCCTTTTTCTACGGCTTGACGTGGACAAAGCGAGCAGACCTACATGTCTGGGTCACTCTGGTGGACAGTCCTTAGCGGATTCTCTCAGCAGAAGCCCCGAATTACCTGGACAGGTGACCGAACATCATCTAAAGGTAAATAAGCTGGCTGAGTTTTGAACTTCGCTGTCTGACCAAAGCCGAGCAGAAAATGCTTCGCCCTTCTGGTTAAAACCCACATTATTTAAGATAAAACTACAAGAAAGCTAACAACTTACTTACCACCTTTTTCTTAAACTCTTCCTTGCCAACCCTAAGATAATTTGCCTCAAATGTCTGGTATTCAACATCAAAGCTTGACGTTTGTGTTTCTATTTAAGTGTGGTTAACAATTAAGAAGTTAAAAGCTTGTTATTGTTGGTCCCAAAACTTTTATAGGAAATTAATTGTTCACAATCAAGTGTATTCTAGTGATTCTGTATGATTTGTAAAATAAATGATCGCAATATTTATGGATCAAATCAACATTCGCTGACTCAGAGCCACTTCTTGTGTCCATTCATTTTTGCACTGGAGGAATGTTTATCCAAAATAAAAATGATCCTTGCTAATTAAATTACTCATAACTTTGTTATAAGAAGTGTAAGCCTGAAGTCTTACACATGATTGTGGTATAGAATTGAATGTGCCTGCAAAATACATAAAACCTCGTTGGACTTTCTAACACGGTTAAAGATAAAATGTACCCTTCGGTATCGTTCAGACACTCCTTCCCTGCTCAGCTCGTCCATCAGCGACGGGAGGATGCTGCTGCTGTGGCGTTTGTATCTCAAAGCGTAGAGCATGACGAGACGGACGGCGTCCAGCTCTGTAATACGAGGGTTCTGCAGCAGCCGTCGGACATTCTGAAAACACCACACTGGTTTCTTGTAGCTCCTGACAGGTTTACGTCTTTTTTTAAAGCTTATTTTGTGTTTGTTGCCGCTCTTTAAAGGCACAGTGTGTAGGATTTGTTTTCAGCGACATCTAGTGGTTGAGTGGTTGAATCATCCTCCCTGGTCC